GTTGAACCCTTAATTACGTCATCAACGACAATGATGATGACGTCAAGTGTTCGCGCACGTCTAGAAAATTAATACTTCACCACAACAGTTCGGAAAGTCGGGATGTTGTTATTTACAGCTACCGATGACATATTATCTGTGTTGATGTAATAAATAAATAAAACTGTAATTAAATGAACTACTTAAACTAAAATTACTTCTGTAAAGTCTTCATAGCGCTGGTATCATCCGCCATCAATAGGCGCTATGCGCATTCCATACATAGGCATACTGTATTCTCACACTTAAATAATTATGCCTTATTAAGGCACCGTGTCAAAGAGTTTATAGTCAGTTATCACAACAATACGATACTTCGTCTACACTAAAAAGTACATGATAATACATTAAAATAAAAATCAGACCACATATCAAACACCCTTAGGATACCTTTCTGGGAAAATCCTTAGTAACTGTCTCACAACTTATAAGACTTGGCGAGGGTCCTTTTTTTTTTGAGCGGGCGTGTCAGTTTGTGATGCGTGTAAAAACGTGGGTTGGGATATAACATACGGGTGTTGGCTGGCAATCCAAGACACACACCTAATTAACGAAGACGACAAGGCACGATCACTCCCTAGCCAAAAATTATATGATCGATAATAATCTTACTCATCGTTCATTTTTATTTAATGAAATTAGCTACCGGCCCCACACATCTCTAAGCTCGCCCCCTATATTTTTTTAAATATAGCAATATAAAACAAGAGCTAGCCATCCATAACGACACTCCTAATTAACCAAGACGACAAAAACATCATATCACTCCCAAGCCAAAACTTATATGATTGACAATAACTCATAACTCATAATGAAATTAGATACCGGTTCCAGGCATCTTCAAGCGCGCCGCTTTATTTCTTTATAAAGCAATATAAAACAGAGATGGAAAAATTGCGGAGGCAAATCCATTACTATGAACGATCGATGTATCACTTATGTTCCATTGATAAACAATGAATATGTTGTGATACAAAATAATGACTGTTGAATAATAGACTTCCTAAATAAATATAAATCACCAATATTATGAAATTCCGTCGTTTAAAACTTTTTTGTTAATTAAAATCACACAAAAAATATACGCTATTATTCGTATGGCATTTATCGTTTAATGAATTGGCATCCTTATATAGCTTTCTCATTAAATATTATGGTGTTTTTAAGTAGCTTCTATGTTTCCCATTAGTCTGTGGCACTATTTACTATAATTTCTTTAGCATGGTTATTGCAGTTTTCATGTAAGACATTACTCAACGCCTTTACTGTAAAAAACGCGTAGAGGATTTAAATGAATAATAATAATAATAATACTAATAATAATAATAATAATAATAATAAATAAAAAATAATAATAAAAATAATTAAAAAAATAATTTAAAAAATAAAAAAAAACTATTAAAAAAATAATAATTATTATTAATTATTATTATTACTATCATTATTATTATTATCATCAACACCACTATTACCATCATCCTCATCTTAATCCTCATCATCACTTTCTTGATTATGATTATCATTATCACCTTCGTCATCATCATCAATATTATTATTACTGTAATAATATTATTTAGAGATAAAAGAAAAAAACCATACGTTAATATGGATACATATAAGAAACAGGCCTGCTGTGGCAGATTTCTAAGTAATATAATGTAAGCGATTATATTAGAATGCTACCCTCCGGATACGACGTCAAATGAATGTCTTAGCGATGACGGACACACTGATGTATTTCTGATTGAAAGAGGTAACATCATACGATTTAAATAGCAGAATGTATAGTCCAAGGTAATGTAACGATACTCTGATTAAATTTCGGATGATGAGCATTAACTAACGAAAAGTGCACACAGTGAGGCGTGTTCGTCTACTAGTAATAACATAATGCCATCACCCATGGATGTATACACCTTCATGAATACATAAATCGTTAAACTTTCTGAATGACGTAAATTTAATACAATTAACAATATCAATCATCTCTGCGTTTTATTAAGCACACACGTCGGTCGATAAGTTTCAACAGAGAACGCAAAAAGCGACGAGGCACGCGCAAAGAATCGTTTTTCATGACGATCCGCTCTGCCACCGGCAAACGACGTCGCGTCGTCAAGCGCTTACAGAGATCGGCGATTCAGTGACGACTGTCGACATGATGTGCCCGTCGTTGAAGTTAACTATCCTCTAACGTAAAAATCAATATAAAGTGGTATAGGGAAATAAAAAAACAATACGAAATACCTTCAATAATGTAATCGCTAGAATTCCTTTTAGTTGTAACAGTTTCATCTTGCGACTCAGAACATCTATTATATGAGACTCCGAAGTACGAGGTACTAAAACGAAGCAGTGTGTGCATTTTACTGTTTTGCCTTCTGTGAAAAGGAAACACAACTACATGTAAAAAAGTTCAAACGAAAAACCCCTTTTAACGATAAAACGCTAGGATATAAACCGCGTCACAGGTTTGTCCAAGTATTCTGTCTGATATTTCATCGGTAAAACTACTTATGCTCAATTTGAAACTAGGTCTTAGAAGCGAAGATTGAAGGTGATATGCAAAGTGCAAATTATATCAGCATAGAATTTTAAAAACATACCAACCAGGAAAAAATTAATAAATATAGGTCTAATTATAATACGTTAATCATAGTAGTAATAATACTACAGTACTTGAAATTTAACAGAAAATTAGGGTTTATTTATATAATTATGATCAAATTTCTCGGAAATCGGGAAGGCCTCTCGCAAGCAAGAATCTCCCAGAAAATAACCCATATCCCGCAAATTCACGGTATTTGCATGTCTTCACTACTGTACTATAATACTGTATTATCTATTGTCTCCCAGAAGTCAGTGCCGAAGTGGCTTCTTCGTACTTGGGACCCTGAAGATGATGATGATGGTGATAATGACAACGATGGTGGTGGTGATGACGATCATGGTATGAAATGATGATGATGACAACTGCAACCAAACATAATTACCAGAAATTGTCCATGCAACATTGCAGCAGTCGTTCTGTTGGTCTTTTCTCAACACATACCCCAGCCACCCAGCCATTTCCATTGTCTATTTCCGTTCTCTTTAATTATTTGTTTTGTAGGTGCTCTTTTCATCACCTTTCGTGTGTCACTCTTTCTTGCCATCTGATCTTTAACATCCATTCAATTTTCAGTTTTCAATTTTACCAATGTTGTATTTGCCCTTTGGGCTTCCTCTCGCCTTTCATCCACCAGCGTCACACGACCATCTTGCGGAATATTTGTTTCTGGTTTCTGTTGTAAGTTCTTTTTCTGGGAGAGCGTTATCAGCGTATTGACCAAACCCCAACCTGGAGGGCCAGTTTCACTGCTTTTTGTCTGACCCCTACCTTCCAACCAGTCTGCCATTGGAAACCCTAACAGTGGCTATGCTACCGCCAGCATAGTTCCTTGGATCATTGGGGTGCAGCAAGCTACTCTATACCACAAGGTTGCAATAGATGCTAACACAGTATTTCGCCAACATATATTTGTATAAGATTAACATAGGCCAACTAAAATTTGGAACTAATTTCCAAAAACACTGACTGATCTAAATTTGCATGTTCAAATAAATTTAAAAATACAGTTTACAAGGCAAAACCAGTTTTGAAATTTTATTACTCACATTTTACACACAAAAAAATAAAATGTTCATTATTTACAAATAGTACAGACTATGGCTATGATCGTTGCCAAACAGGATAACGTATAAGAAAAGCTGGACACACACCGTGTTCATATTAATATGTGACATGGGCCGTGTGACAGATCATTTTCAACGGTGATCCGCTCAGCAGTGGCGCCAGAAATTTGCCGACGAGGGGTCCGACGTGTCGACAGAGGGGTCTGAACCAAGGCCACAACGAAGCCTCGGTCGACGACCAGGAATAAAAAAAATCCCTGTTAGGGTTCATGGGGAGAGTTTTTATGGCTTCATTTGGTCCTAAATGAACATAAAAATTTGCTTCCAAATATTTTCAAAATTATATTAAACTCAAATCATAAAATATTTTTGCCAAAATACTAAAATAAAGCTGTAAGAAACAAGTGGCTGGATTTCAGTTCATACACACAATTGTAATTTCGAAGTTAAGTTTGTAAGCTAAACATGTATTTTTACACCTGGAATTCAAACACATAAAATACTTTACCAGCAATGTTTAGGAAATGGAATGAACATTAATCTAAACAATAATCATTTTCAATGTTTAGTTATGGTTTGAAGAGCATTTACCTGGAAATCCTAATTCTCTCTAAACCATTAATTAAACAAGAAAATTATGTTCTAGATATGATTGATTTAAATTTGCTGGTACTATATGATTACAACATAGGTCCTAGTTACAAAATTCTGTGGATAGTAATAGCCTTCTCTTTCTGGGCATTGGCTTATTGGCTGGTATAGTGTCTGAACAAGGTACATAAAGAGTAGTTTCTCGTGATTTATTTCCAATCTTAGAGCACTTCATTGTCCAATAAATATCATGCTATACCGTAATATATTAGATCATATTTAGAATTTACATCTGACTGAAGTAATAGTAATAATTCATATAGCACATACTGCACAGCGGCTAAATGCGCTTTACACAAAACTAAAAAAAATATTGTTGAATTTCACAAAAACTAAATTAGAAGGAGTAGTGATATACTGTAGGCTACACACCACGACCATTAGATTGTTGTATTTATATTGTTTTGAATGATAAGTATATATACTGTCTCTTATACACATCTAGATGTGTATAAGAGACAGCCTTATATAGCTTTCTCATTAAATATTATGGAG